GACCAAAAATGCTTTATGTTGCACCTAGTACACAAAGCAATGATAATCACAACCAGTACAAAAATCACTTCCCTTTTTGAAACGAGCGCTCTTCATTTGAGAATAAAATATTATTGCTAAATAGACAAATGAGGAGTAATTGTTTCAAAAGCAATTTTTTGAGAGACAGTGGTGCCTAGTGCAAATTTAGTGGTAGTATTGAATATTCCAATGTTTATGAGAGCTTGTCACAAATAAAAACTGCTCTAGTCGAAGTGCTCTGTTAGAGATTGAAGGTTTTCCCAGTCAGCGTGTACATAGTCTCTATATTGGAAACGCGTCTTTAATTTGTTTCACTTATCAAAAATTGGTAGAGTGCAGAAAACTACTTTATGATCGCTGTTTTCAAAAGTTTCGTCAATCACCACAGATGTTGCTGTGACATTGTGACATAATATCAAGTCAAAAATGTTTTAGTTTCTTGTAGGCAGCTGCAAATGTTGTTGTCAACCACATATGTCCAAGGAACTAAGTGTACATTAGTTGATGGTGAGAAGATTAAAATAACTACGAATAATTTTGTAGGAGTCAATGGACGCAATCATAGCTAATAACTCACTTTTAGTAGTGCCAGTTAAACCAGGATTGTTAGGATCTCGATATTTACATCCAATTAGTATTTTACATTCATGAGTGTGTGCAGTAAGCCATATCAAATCGGACAATTTGCTGAGGACAGCATCGTTATAGATTTCTGCTCTCATAGTTTTAGATGCATATATAAGACGACTACCGTCCTGCTTAGTGACTCAATTACAGTGGAGGAAACCATGAGTGTCTATTTGAAGGTATGAATTTGTGACATCGGGGAACAACCAACTTTCCACTAACAAAACAAGTGAAGGATTGTCTAACAGTAAGAGGGTGAAAAGAAAAGTATGTTACTCCGCATTAGGTCGAATTATATAGAGGTTGGTCTCAAAAGAGTGGGATTATCGCTCTCATCATTTGGAGGCTCCATAGCAAAACTGTCGAGGGAGAGAGAGGTAAAAGGAGATGAGGTGGTGTATGCGCCAAATCCGGTGCAGACCAAAAAGTTGTTTAGAGTAGCTTTGTATTAGTAATATCTACAATCTCGATGATGCAATGAAAAGACTAAGGTTATATGACAGCCTTGGTCTTCTCACTGCATTATCAAAATTTATCAAAGAGACTCATCGTTTTAATTACCTACAACCACTAGGTGCTCAGGTAGGCTATCGCCGTAGTTTAATTGTGTGTTTTGCGCAATTTCAGACCTGTCATGAGTATTTAAGGAGGTTGTATGCCCCAGGTTAGAAATGGAGGTGTTCATGTTGTGTATGATTGTGTTCTTGTTCCTACGACGTACAAAGTTCACCCTAAAAATCTTACTTATGTCATGAGGATGTGTAGTGTTAGAGAGGTGTGGACCCATGCTAAGATGAATGAGTAATATCACTCCACTGTGCTTGTTGTAAGGTCTTCTATCGCTGTTGGTTAAGAGTGCTGGGGTGCTTGTGGGTTTCAGCAGAGGGTTTAGCAATATTTCGTATTTCAATGGATGAGCGGCTGTAACTTCTGAAAGGATTGTTTTTAGGCTTTTTTGGATATTTGTTGGAGCAGCTAGAGCAGTGCTGGAGCAATATAAAATGAGTGGACTAGAAAGTAGTTTGGTGTTTGCGCTTAGAATAAATGATTGCAGCTGTTTGATGTGCAATCTTGATCCTAAGACTAGTGACCTCACTCGAAGTGCCTTCATTTTTAAGAGGAGTAGGGAATGAGGTTGTAGGGTTTGTGCAGTGGCCAACGTTGTAACTGTTGCTATTACGTAGGCTGGGTTGATTGGTTTGTAGTTCATTGAAGATTCGATGTTGTACAGTAGTCCTGTTACAGCTGATTTTAATCTTTTTAAAAAGTTGGAATGCGCCTCAGTAACGACTGATTGTTAAGGAGACTATCAGCTTTGGTGATAATACGAAACTGAAAGAGAATGAGAAAAGAGGCTTTACTCTGTGCTCTACATAATCAATTTGTTACATTCCAAGATTGCTACAATCCAGACTCTTTAAGTAGAGTATTTTTAACGGACTTTATGTTTGCACTATCAGCTACATAATACACAATGTCACTCAGCATATACTGCAGTTTTTCAACACTGCAGATGATATATGGTCACTTACGTTTTTAGTGTTTTCTATAATTTTGAGATCAGGGTTTTCTGGAACACTGATTAGATATTTCAACGGTAATAAATTGTGAATAATTTGTGTGAGATTAAGTTCTATTTGACTGATCTTAGAATTGTTACTGGTGAAAGTTTTCAGTTCATACTAAGATTGTTAGGATCGACATGGTTGCATGCAAACTTGTTGCAAGAGTCTATTGAGTGATCATCTTGTGAACACTTAGTTGATGAATGGAGTATATGTCTGTGTGAGTAGTCGAAATCTACATCTCTAGGCTGGTTACTGTAGACAGATATATATGCATTCTGTTGGCTGCTAAACAGGTTAGTCGTTTGTGGATTTGTTAAGTGTTTCGGCTTGGCCAAACTGCCTAAAAACTGCTCTTAATAAGTGACACTCTTGTGCAGACTGCAAGAACTACCGAATGACGTCGACTCAAATGGTTTGTGACTGGTTTTATTTATATCTATAAGTGAGATGCAAGGTGGTGAAATGCCATGTCCAAGTGTCTAGTGTGGCTGAGGAACGTTCAGAATATGATGCGGATTGATCAGCGTGTTTATATAGCTTCACATCACTCACGTTAGTTACGGATTTAGATAATTTGCAGGTTAATATGCATCAAGGGAGATTGTATTTTTTTAGATGGCCTTGAGACGATTTGAAAAAGTGTAAATACAAGTATATGTTCCCATTTTCATCAATTAACTTTACCTTAGTGTTTAGCTGGACGCGCTATAAAATCTCCTTGATATTTGTAGTGTCTAAACGCAATTAATTAGGATGTGAATTCAACAACCTGTGTACCACTGTGACCACATTTTAACGATATCGTCTTTGGTGAGCTCTTTGTGGAACGTTTAAGAAACCAGATGTCGTAAGCTACGAGTTGGAGTATCACTCAATAGAAACGGCCTTAAGTACAATTGTTCACTTGACAGCAACTGTCGTCTTGAGGGATCTACAGAAATATATTCTTCTGTGCAAATATGGTTGTGCACGGTTTTGATAGAGGTGACTTAGAGCATGCCATTTACCACACGGATCCGAACTCCAGATGGGTAGTGGCAATATTTTGACCTGAAGGATACATTCACTTGTGAACCTTATCAGATGGTGTGACTGAACTCAAATCAAATCTTAAAATGTCTTGATTTGACCGCTTTCGCAAGACCTTACGAATTGTCGAGGTTATTGTGGCCTGCGATCTGACTCCAAATTGATTGTCTGAATGTTCGATATCGCCTACCCTCGTATATAATCATTGACTTGAATCGCGTTAGTTAATAACAGAATTAAGTAAGTCAAATAACAAGGATGGACTTTTGAATGCATGTACTTTATACAATTGCTGATTAGACAAACGAACGGGGGAACGACGCTAAAAGAAGAGAGCGAAGCAAAGAATGACGCGCGGTGAAGTCGGCTGGTAAGCTGACTGCCATTTAACCATGCGTTAATCAATATTTATAGACACACAAAATCAAGTTACAGACATGTGATGAATAGAATAAGAAGTGAACATACACCTACGCGCTCATATAAAAACATTACATTAGAATGTCATCATATAATCGTTCAAAGTCATTAAAAATAACAAAACAAAATCTTATACTTAAAAGCATTTAATTAGTGGGTTCAAATAAAGAATGCAAAGTGTCTTATTAAAAAGATTCCAAAGGCTTTTGCGATCCAATTTATTTGTTGGAATTATTTAAATCCTCCCATTGATATTGAGGACTGTAATTGCTCAGCCTCTTTTGATAGACGTGCATCCTGCTCGGAATGCATCCACAGTGCGAATAAATGATAAGAATTCCAGGCAGAGTTATTCTATAATTGTGCAGGTTTATGTATTCGATTTTGAGCCTTGCTGTTTCTATGAGAGCCATTTAATATATTCGGTCACCCGAAGTGAATTAATTGAAGGAAGGTCTAAATCTATTACTTAAAGTTTGGAAACAGAATTCACTAGCCAATGACCTCAAACCTCTAGAGTTAACGCATCATCAAATTCATTTAATGTGGCTGATTATTTCTATGTTGAGACTTGAAAATTTTATCATGAATCGAAAAGGTTGATAATATTTACAGTACTGAATACGACTCTTCAAAATTAACCTGCTCACATGGTTTATAATTCCACTCACATTACACCATATTCACTACCATCCTTAAGGTTATTGTTTCTCAATAAATAAAATCAATAATTTTGAGCACTTGTCTCACCCAAAATAATCACTTCTCATGATTGAATTTACAATGATCTGTTCAACCAGTTATATAGGTTGTATAATAGACAATAAAAGTAATGGAGAGGAACACTTCGAATGCATGACTTTAATACACAACAGCCAGTTGGAAGACCGGATAATTTTGTATAACTTCTGAGTATTTTTCTCTTCTAATAACTTTGTAAGATGAATCAAAACTCATTTATAAGAGAATTTGAAAATATTTCATTTCGGTATTACAAAAATGTCTTTTCTCAACTGTGAAGTGTTTATGCACAGAAGAATCAAATAATTTATACTTATTTATTAATTGTCTATTAGTGTGAAGTTAAATGCAACATAAGTTTGCTTTCGATAATATTTAAATTGTCGACCTTGATTTCTCTAAGTTTGTTTTATTATGTAACTAGTATGATCTTACTGTAATAATCCATTCACTCGGAAAGCATTACAGACTTCATTATTTGTGATTTTGATTGGATTTCAAATCTAAACTTACATATTACTACCATTTGAGTCAATAGTTTATTGTAGCTAAAGTATATACTTTTGAGTAATTTCTAGATATAAAAAGTGATGCTGAAGGATGAAAACTAATTTTTATTTTGAAACCGACTTGTATTCACAAGATGGAGTATAATAATTTTAGTTTTAATTAAAGCGGACAAAATCCTGGTCCATTTATTGGTTCAGCGTTCCAACCGCGACTGTAAGTACAAAAATAATTTTATCGTGAAGAAATTTATATTTGAAATGAATACATAGTTTTATATCATTAATTTATAAATGATGTATGGCTAGTGAAATTAAAAGGTGGTTGATCAATCGCCATGGACAAACAGACACTCAGCCTGATGATTACTTAATATGTAATTCCTTTCCTAATACTGATTTCTACCCTGATCTCACTTATTGTAGACTGCCTAGCCTATACTCTGATGCTCTATTTTTGGTCGTGAATCGTGTTTCTGATAAAACGTGACCCAGTTTGCGTATAGCGGATCATTTACGTATCTAGTTTTATGGTAGTATAATTTCGATCATCGGTCGTATAACAATAGCATATCTTGGCAAATAGAAAACATTTTTATCCTGCCGTTAAACCAATAAAACAATGGTATTTTGACATTGACACTGCAACTATTTTATGTTAGTAGGTTTTGAGATAATGTAGCAGCTAGAGAGATGAAAGTCAAATGCAGTTAACACCATGAAGTTCATCAAAACAGGGTGAACATGGATTTACGTATATCCATTCATACTTAAAGTAGATTCACGCACACTGCTCCTTGTTTCCAATACCCTTCAGTTTTTGCATCATATCATGTTGGAAGGCAATAATGATACATTTCGTGACTAATTAAATGATACACACTAGAGATTACTTTATTAAAAGTTCTAGTAAGTTTATGAATGTAACATGTAGCTTTGTGCATCTATTTGTGAGGGAATACTGTACTGCCTAAAACCACTTTACTGAATGCACACAAAATTGCAGATCTCTCAACCTTCTCATTCCTCTTGCTCAGTCAATCCATGTCGTCCTATGATATCTTCATATCCGGTTTTGTCCATCCAAAATTCGGTGTTTGTATCTCCCATCAGGATGGTCATGTCCTTTCCTGGGCACTTTGCTATGGTTGATTGCAGCTTCTCGTAAAACTGATCTTTATCGTTGTCTCTACTATCATTGGTGGGTGAGCAACACTGTATAACATTCATTGTGATTCCCTTCTTCTTTGTTTTGAAGGATGATTTGATGATTCTGGGTCCATGAGATTCCCATCCTATAAGTGCATTACGTGCTTCTTTAAACAGCATCAGAGGAACTCCGTGAGTGTGTGGAACATTTTTCTCTTCGTGATCGGAGTACAGCAGCATCTCTCCCTTACGTAACCTTTGCTGTCCAGCTTGGGTCAGATGTGTTTCGCTGACTCCGAGTACTTCCAAGTTTATCTTCTCATTTCCGTTGCTATTTGACCGATCTTTTCGGTCTCCCACATTGTCCGCACATTCCGTTTACCTATACAACTTGTTGCTCCGGTTGTTAGAACGGGCATCAACCTCGTGACTTCCGAAGAATTTTGGTCTTCATCATGAGCCGTCATAATTTTTGCTTGAACTTCCAGGGCAGATTTTAAATGATTTAACTTATTTATTCTGGTTAGTGTTTTTTAGCAAGGTTGTGTTCTACAGGATGGGATTGCCAACCCCACACCCAACCCTCCTCCTTTACCCGGGTTCGAGACCGGCAGTAGTCTTAGAAGAGCGGATTCATATTTCTTGTTGGTAACTTCAAAAGAGTAATCAAGGATTTCAGTCTCTGGAATAAAATGTTCGTTGCAAACGTATGTGTATTGTTAAATAAAACTTCCAGTTTTACGCTCTTCAAAATAATTAACTACAGGAGAGTATAAAATGATCGAGAGCACGTAATTTTATACTCTTTCAGCTCTTGGATTATAAGCGATGTGCTTGTAGTGGTTTACGTTACTTAAATGAGTAATCTATTTCGTTTATATGTTAACAGTGGGTTGACTGGTAAAAGTAAAGTACTTGTAAAGCAATAATAAGACTCAAATCTCAAAGTTACAGACTAACAATATGCTCAGTTTTAACTAATTATTTGTAAACACCTTACCACAGTATTTGAATAAGTTGTTTTTAATGAACTGTTGTTACTTCTAACCATACATCCAATGTCAATCTTATATTTAACTTACCTCAGCATTCGACAGCGAAGTTCTTCCACTCTTGGAATAAAATCTGTTGTGTTCGGTGAACCTTGAGTCCATAGTCTTTCAGCTACAGCTGAACCTCGAGGCCTTTAATGATAAAATGCAATTAGCTCAGGTTTGTTAAGAAAACTATTCTTTTATCAAACTTAAAAATTAAAAACTATTATGTTTTTCTCAGAGATTTCGAAAGTCTGGCTTCGGAATTTCGGCCGCAGTATCGACTTTGAACCGAATGTACTTGAAGGTAGTTTTCTCTGGTGTTATGAGCATATTTTCAACTTGTTTTTTCGGCTCCAAATTTTTCTCAATGTATTTAGGTAGATATCCGTTGCTGATAGGTGTCTGACATAATTTTTCAAGTTTGACATCGATTATATACTTGGTTCGGATTTGTCTAGCTCTCGTGTAGAGAAAGTGAATGAGGTTTCTATTTTACATCAGTTGAGAAAAACTTTTAAAATTCATGTATTGACCATTCCAGGTCGGCCTGATGGGACAGAAGCCAGTAGGCTTAGTCACTGATTTGTAAACAAAGTCAGGACATGGGATGTATGTCCATAGGAATAAATTGAAGCACCACATCAGCACAGAGAGATGAAATTATTAAGATAAATACAGTAGTAGAAATGGTAGTATTAGTGATTGCGAAACAAATAAGATGTAGAAAACCATTCAGGAAAGAATGTGTTTGCAAATAAATCTAAATTAAGTAGTAATTTTAGAACTAAGTAACTGAACTGGCAAAACGTGAATACATTTCCATTATCATACATTTAAAGTCACCCCGCCTAAGGTTATTAGTCACTGATTAAGACTGTCATAATAAATCCAGCTGAGTGATTTACGCTTACCAATATGACTCAAATTAACAGTCAGTTGCTTCATGGAATGGTATCATATCTTGACTTGGGGGCTCCTAACTTCCTACCTACTGTAGCCATTATCGGGTGTCAATATAGGCTGCGGTTGGACTTACATAATACATATTCAGGTCATCACAGTCTCTAAATATTCATAATCTCATCAACTGATCTGTATTTGACTACTATCCTGTGTTTAAATGAATGATTAGCGAAATCCTCTCTTATCCCATTAACCTAATACATTCTAACTGTAAATGAAATATATCTGTATAAAATAGTTAGCTAAACATTTCGTCATATGGCATGAATATAACCAAGGCTGACAAAGCTTATGTTTCATTCTCATCCAAATTAAGTGCTGAATTTTAAAATATGTTTTCCTTCGATAAATTATCATAGTTATTTTAAAATAACAACAGACGTACTTGTGCATTATAAAATTGGCTGTCTTTTATCATAAACTGACATTATTTGGATAATCTTCGAAAACTAGAGGGAATAGAACAGTCATTTAGTTTTAGTCTCGAACTAACCAACAGTGCTCAATCACTAACACAAAATTAATCAAATCAATAAAACTTTAGATGTGTTTGGACCACTAAGGTCACATCTAATAATCCAACTTTACAACTTTGATCAGCTCATGATGTGGCGCCACTATCATTCTATATCATCAGGAATAATAAAATATCATTTAATTAGACCAAAGATCAATGAATAAGTATAAAAAATCATAAATGTGTGATTAGTAGTGACTAATTCGATATAAATTTCTTGGAATTTTAGTTAAAAAAACATAATTAACAAAGTCCAATAAATCACACATAAAAAGTAGTTCTAAGCCGTTGACCGAATGGATTGGTGCTCGATAAAAAATCTGAATAGTCTTGGTTTGATCCCCTTTTGCTTAGTTGATGAACACGGCTAAAGGTTTAGAAAAAGAGACTAGATACTTGTGTTGTGTTTCTCAATTTTCAATATTCCTTCAGTTGATATTAGTCACTGGTAAGAACTAACTCCACTCTAAACAATCAACACAAATTTATTATCTTAATTATGCATTATGTACGCATTTACTTACCATGATCGACTAAACAAATTCGTGTCATCCACATATTCACCCCACATAGCTGCTTCACCTCCAATAACCAATTTCGCATCTTCCTTGCTACCTATAAAACAAAAATAAGTGTGAAGGCGAATCCATAAGCTATACAATTAATTGTGTTTTGATCTGAAACTAACAAATATTAACTATTTCTCGAAGGCGATTTAAGTGTATTCAGTAAATGATTACTATTGTTATCAGTACGTGGTTGTGGAGAGTGTTGAGTTTTGATTGAGATCATGGATCGATCTGTGTTAGACCACCAATGAAAACCTCCAAACATTAGACGGTCGATTGGTCCTAGTATGGGACCGCCCAGCAGTGAGCAACCACGATCTCGCACGTAGAATTCGAACCCAGCACCCTTGGTCTGGTGCGCGAACACTCAACCTCTAGACCACTGAACCGGGATCAAACGGTGTTAATGTCTAACTGCAACCAATCCGTGATATTGCACAACCATCTTCCATTTTATTCGGTGGGTAACTGCCTCATACCCGACATGGATTAGCTCCAGTGGGCACGGCTTCTCACTTGAAATTGACATTGACACCATTGGATGCCTTCTCAGTGGTCCAGGGGTTAGGTGTTTGCGCGCGAGACCGGAGGATCTGGGTTTGAAACCTGTGTAAGGGATTGTTGTTGTACATTGCTGACGATTCCCATACTAGAACGAGATGGCCGACTAATGCTTTCAGGTTTTCAGTTGTGATCTAACATAAATCGACTATTGTTATATTGTTTGGCACAGTAGTAAAGTTATAATTGAAACCACCCGGACTAGGTCAATCGGATAAGTTTAGTTTAACATTAACATTTATTGTTTACTAAGATTATCTAATTTAATGGTTTATTAGAATGACTTGTGATTACCTTCGTAAAACAGAAATTGCAAATTTTTTTTACATTTATCCATTTGGTGTAATATCAGTATGCTTATAAACCTTTATGTGATTTGACTGTAAACAGTAAGGTTATCTACAGTCCATTTTTAACCGTAATATAAAGTTTGAAAATTTAAATATCTGTGAAATAATTTTATGATTTTTTACTTCTAAATCACGTTTAATTATGGTCGATATTTTATACTTCGAATTATTGTTCTATAATGTCTAAATGAATAACTTACCTTGATAAAATGCTGTTATTTACAATCACATTAGTTTTTTTAATAACTTTTATTATTTTCTTACTAAATCTTGCCACAAACTTTCAAAAGTTGGAGAACCGTTGACAACTCAGAAGGACTAAGCATTTGTTACTTGGTGGTTTATGGCTCATCAGGAGTTCAGATACATGATCACTCCAGAAATCGAACCTAGGGTCTTCAGGCGCTTTATCTTTAGATCATGGAGTAACAGAAATGTGGCACTCATTTACAATTTCACTACAATCACCATATTATTCAACAATCATCGAATGCCATCAGTTGATAACTATATCACTTCTGAGATGGTTGAATTCCACCCGTCATGAAACCTGGATCGTCCTTGGCATAGGACTGTTGCCTCGTCTCTGATCAGCTCAGTGGGTAACCACTGTTGTGAAAATGAATTATTCTCCACAAACATTTCGTGTAATTTCGTTATTACTATTTTTGATTTTAATTAGATCTTACTGAGATATATATCCCCTCTCTCATACACACAGGATTGCTGATTTTAGATTTAATTTACGTATTATATCCTATCACATGAGTTTTTAAAGTGACTGTACTCAGAGTCATTTTATGAAATAGTAGTTGTGTAAAAATTTCTTTCCTTACTAACAACCTTTAATCGTAATTGTACTTTTAAGAAAAAATAGCCAACTATTTATGTGAAATATTTATCTAATATTCTATTTTGTCGAAGGTAGATAATGGTTGAAGTTATTCAGTATTAGAGAATATATTTTCTACTTCGAATATGAAGTTGACCAGGTTACTAGCGTGTTTATTTTTCTGAAAAGTATGATTCCTGAGTAATAAAAAAAATTTAATTGCTTAGTTTACAGTTTCCTAAGGTGTTTTTACTTGCAGGTTTCAATTTTAACTTACAGACTATTATTCCATCTTTACCATACAATAGTAACAGTCATTTGTTCATAAAAAGCTTTTTTAGATGCACTTTATTGTGACTTGAAGTCCAAGGACCCACTTTTGTTATGACATGAGTCATAGTTTATACATACTGATGTAATTACCTGCTCACTTAAATACCCGGTCTTGCAAAGACTATTTGATTATGATCCAGAGGATTCCAGGATCTTACCTAACTCAATAATTCTAGTAATTTCTCAATCAATTGAGGTGGAAAAATGGAATGAGTCCCCTATGAAAATTCTTGTAAATCTTTTCATTCATTAGAAAAACTTTTATCACTAACAAAAAGCCACCAATGTGCAGCAAACATTTGAAATGGACAAAGTGTGTAGATGACAATATTTTGAAAAGAGTATTTGAAAATACCTCCAAAATCTCTTGGATCAACGTGATAGTAGTTTCGCCAGTCATCACCATAAGAAATGTAATTCAGGTACCAAGCAGCTGAGAATAGTACTCTATAGCCTGTTTTAGTAACATTTTTCACCACAGATTCCCAAAATGAGTCTTTCCACACATGAATTACTGTTGATTTATCACCCTAAAATCAATAAAAGAAAAAAATGAATGGGTTGACTGACGTATACAAATGCACATATAATTCTCAAAACTATGTCAAATCACATTTTAATCGGACGAAAGCTTATCGAAATGTTGAAAATTAAGACCTTCATTATCTCTGATCAACAAACATCCCTTTAAACTTAAAACTACATTTATTGTCTATAGACAAAAGCTTTGTATGAGCCAAAAGATCAATGAATAAGTAGAAGTATTTTAGCAACACCTTCAACAACTTTGATTGACCAATCCAAAATAGGACTGCTGAGTGTGAGACATTTACCAGTTATCTCTGAGCCCATTTCAAAGGCAAACGGAAACCAAATTTAGGACCTAAAATGTAAAAAACTTAGTCTTGGTCGTTTTCCAAGTTGGTAAGGTGTTCTGTGGTAAGTCCATTATATTTCTTCTTTACTTATTTGCTGTAATCTAGACCATCGACCCACTATGTAAAAGTATGTATGAGTCTCATCGAAAGCATGCCTGCACTTCAACTTTATCTATATTCCCATTGGTTGTAAATACAGATAAGTACTAGCCTACCCACAAGTGATTAACACATGTAAAATAAAAACAAATATTTTGACCTTTTGCTCACATTCACATATTCACTCACTCCCCAGTTTGCTCTATCTCTCTCGCGCTTTATTAATTATCAACAAAACACTATCGTAAAAACTTCTATTGTGGCTTTTGAATGTTCTCAAGTAAACTCATAGTACAGTGGTGTCGGCTTTTCATATCTACATAAGTAGTATATAACGATGGTCAGGCATAGTATGTATTTCAGTGAGAAAATCGTTAAGGAAAGAACAGGAATAGAAAGCAATTGGTATGAAAATGCATGAACAATGAAATCTGAGACAATGGACTGATATTTGCAAAATGAACAGTCAAGTTTGAGACGTTGGATAAATATTTTGCAAATTAACTATTCACTATATGATTTTCAGATTTTAGTGAGATATACTGCAATTTTGTGCTCAAACACATTTGATTGCCCCACTCCCATTCATGTTCACTACAGTACTACTGGGAGAATTAGCCTGCTAAAATACTCAGTTAGCAGGATGTCATTTATTGGAGTCAAATGGAGAAGAACAAACCTCTCACTAACTTCCGCTTGTTTCCACTCGTGAAGGAGCATAGGCTATACATCAATATTCTCCATCCAACTCTGTCGAAAATAATCTTTTCCAATCCTTTGCAATTCCTATTCATCCTTTTCATGTCCGCTTCCAACTCCTGAAACTGGGTGTTCTTTAGTCTTCCGCTTTTTCGTTTCCCATCAGGATTCCAAATTAGCGCTTGCTCCGTGATGTGGTTTGGTAATTTACTCAATGTATGTCCTATCCACTTTCAGCGTCTCTTCCTAATCTCTTCTTCAGCTGAAAGCTGGTTTGTTCTCTCCCATAGTAGGCTGTTGCTGATTGCATACGGCTAACCGATGTTGAATATCTTGCTTAGACAATTGATTATAAATACTTTTACCCTTCTGATGATGATTGTGGTAATTCCCCAAGTTTCAGCTATGTACAGTAGAACTGTTTTGATGTTCGTATGGAAGATTCTCACTTTAATATTGGTTGACAGTTGTTTTGAGTTCCATATGTTCTTCAACTGTAGGAATGCTGTCCTCGCCTTTCGATGTGCATCCGATCCTCCTTGTACATCCACGATGCTGTCCAGATACGGGAAAGACTTCAAATCTTTCAGGGGTTGTTCATCAAGTGTGATTGGGTTGCTGTTCTCCGTGTGTTATTTGAGAATGTTGCTTTTTTCTTGTGTATGTTGAGGCCTACTGTTTGCGATTCTTCTGTTACACTAGATGTCTTAGTCTGCATTTGTTGGTGTGTATGGGATAGAAGTGCTAGGCGATCTGTGAAGTCCAAATGGCTTAGTTGCATCCAAGCTGTTTATTGCATTCCGTACTTCCCCTCAGATGTGGAGGTCTTCATAATCCAGTCAACCACCAAGAGAAAGATATAGGGGGAGAGTAGGCAGTTTTATCTTACTCTGGTCCTCATTTGAAATGTGTCAGTCATCTGTCCTACATCTATAACTTTGCTCTGTAGTTCATAGTATGAATTTTGGATGATGTTGACGATTTTCACAGGTACTTTGTAGTGTCGAACAGGGTTCTATGATGTTCTATCCACATTGTCAAACGCCTTCTTATAGTGAAGGAATTTGATTTACGGTGAGGAGTTCCATTCAATTCATGACCGATCCTTACGGAAACCAGCCTCCCTGGTCTCGACGTTTGGCGTTTACTGAGTCTTTCATCCGGTTAAGCAAATCTCTGTTGAAAACATCTCCTGGTACTGATAGTAGTTTGATGCCTCTGTAGTTCTCACGTTTGCTCAGATCTCCTTTTTTAGTATCTTGATGAGATGTACTTCCCAGTCTATCAGCATTTATTCTTCTTCCCAAAACTTCCTGAATAGAACGTGGAGCATGTTGACAGTTACTTCTATGTTTGACTTCAGAGCTTCGGCTGGTATATTATCAGGTCCAGATATTTTCCCACTTTCGATTTGTCTGATGGCCATCCCGGTTTCTTCGACCGTTGGTGGAGTGACATCTATGGGAATATCTGTGGGTGATGCTTTGATGTCTAGTGAACTTAATGGGGCTGGCCTATTAAAGAGTTCCTCGAAGTGTTCTACTAATCTATTTCTCTGTTCTTGAATCTCAGTGTTTGGCTTGTGTTCTTTGTTCTTGACCAGTCTCTCTGGTTAAATATATTTCCTTGCCAGTTTGTTCACTGTGTCATGTTAACCTCTACAATTTATTAATTCATCAAAAGAAATCTATTGGAGTCATTGAAAGAAATGATGAACTTCGATCAAGAAAATTTTGTTTTTGACGATGTCATTTAGTAGAACTACACAATCCTTTTGATAGTTTCGTTTTTTACATGGACAAACACGTCAAAATATGATATAGAACAGAAAAAACGTAGGGATTTGGTCAAGCGAAAACAAATGTGTGTCAAGAACTGACTGACAAAATGTTAACAGTATTATGTTTATGATAAACTAAGCAATTAAATATACCGCTTCTAAAAACGAAGATCAGTCGTGAATTTATAAATCATCGAACACTTCTCTGTGAGCGAATTTCTTATCTGTCTTCCCTTCAAACGAATAAGATTCACTTTGTGAATAATTTTAGATAAGAATTCTGTTGGGGAATTATGATCAGAAATGACTACATGTTCAGCGATTAATCTATTGGCCGATTTCCGTTCACCTCCCGATTACCAAGTTTGATAATGTTCAGACATGCGTGTAGAAAAAAATACGTCCTGTATGGCCAATATAACAAGCTCAAGGCACTCTATCCTTGACACATACCAGTATAGGTCATCTTCTGGAAAAGTTCGTAGCTAAGCTAAATAAAAAAGCTTTCTTCTAAAGACTTGACCAGTTGGTCTCATACGGTCTCTACTGCTATACATCTTTTTATATCAATGTTCATGCGCGTAATCTCCCTCAGTAGGGTAGAGGCTCTGTGCTATGGACTACTGTATGTAAAAATAACTACAAGTACGATTATGTGGTTCAACTAAATAGTTTCGTTGAACAGAATCCTTTCTTGGCTGAAGCATCTTTTATTCAAATCATGAGTCGATCTGTGTTAGACCACCAATGAAAACCTCCAAACATTAGACGGTCGATTGGTCCTAGTATGGGACCGCCCAGCAGTGAGCAACCACGATCTCGCACGTAGGATCCGAACCCAGCACCCTTGGATCTGGTGCCCCTCCCCCCCCCCCCCCCGAACACTCAACCTCTAGACCACTGAACCGGGATCAAACGGTGTTAATGTCTAACTGCAACCAATCCGTGATATTGCACAACCATCTTCCATTTTATTCGGTGGGTAACTGCCTCATGCCCGACATGGATTAGCTCCAGTGGGCACGGCTTCTCACTTGAAATTGACATTGACACCATTGGATGCCTTCTCAGTGGTCCAGGGGTTAGGTGTTTGCGCGCGAGACCGGAGGATCTGGGTTTGAAACCTGTGTAAGGGATTGTTGTTGTACATTGCTGACGATTCCCATACTAGAACGAGATGGCCGACTAGTGCTTTCAGGTTTTCGGTTGTGATCCAACATTTATTGGTTCATGATTTCAATGAAATTCAACAATCTCCACAACCCCAAACAAACATCTTTATTTTACGTTTCATTTCTGTTTAAATCCTGGGTAAATGATGTACTTAAATATAGAGTGTAGTTTCTGCTCATTCACAGAGCCGTAATTTCTCTGGGATCAAATGACTTTATTATTCTTTTTATATTTTTCAACGTGCTGCTAATCAAATTTTAGTGAGTTCTATGTGTGTTTATGAAGTAGTAAATTATATTCAGTGACATGTAACTCAGTGTTTACGTACTTATTCTTATACTCTATTCAGCTAACCTAAGTAACTGCCATTACGACAATCGCCAACATTATAGGAGATTCATATCAAAATGACGTTTCCAAAATGATTTATTTCAAACAGGTGGCTCAAGCGCGGTGATCAACAGACAGTAAAGCAAACAAAGTGAACGTAATTTGGCGGGGAAGTATATTGTGAACACACGTGGAGACGACAGATTTACTTCCGTACAAACTTACAGACTTTCTTGTTAAAATATGAGAATCATACATTAAATACTTCATTTGCAAATTTCCATCATTTGTTCTTCACACTCGGCGTGATTCTTCCGATTTATGATTCCTTCCTGATTTCATTTCTGTTTTCTCCAAGTCAACCTTCAAAACATTCTGCTGCCGGGTTTTCAACTTCCGAATGGTGTTACATAGTACTTATATCCATCGACATGTGTGTGAAAGTTGTCAGTTTAGTATACACATCGAGGTTTAAGTGGTCAAGACTTTAGCAGCCAAAATAAATACCGAGGCAGGTGCTTATAGTAAATTGCACACTCATTCAAGAGCATATAGATGTGAAAGCAAATAATGTGGGACTACACACAAATTATTAGGGGATAAAATAACCGTTTATTTGTCAAAAACTAGTTCAAAAGGCTTACTTAGTTTGAAAATGTTTGTGGGCAAGACTATGATATGTACGTTTTGCATTAGTGATAAAGGATAAAGCACGCACTTCCCTCACACTTTATATTTTAATATCAGGTTCATTTAAACCTAGTATAAAAGTAGCTTTACAATTGAGTGGTTATTTGGTTGTGACCAGTGTCATGTATTTTAAGCCCATCTAATTGTTAGTCGAATTCTATCTATCAAATTGAAATTTGGTCACTAGTCTAAATGACTTAACTTCGCGTGCTTTATGTTGAGATGTAAAGTGATGGTTAGAGGTAGTCGAGAGGAGACCCTGGACCTAGGTTTCATGCTATTTGGCACTCTTCAGGAAGGTGTACCTTTAATCTTAAAAGAATAGATGCTCCCCGGCAGATTCTATCCCTTATGTTTGACTGTGAAGCTGGATGGTACAGGTCAAATTCACCAGGGATCATCTACTTCCTTAAGATTACAAGTATGCTTTCCTGACGAGTGTCGGATAACACGAAACCTAGGTCCAGGGTCTCCTGTCGACTATCTCCAAATAACACCTTAGGGAACCTATTGCCATTCTATGTTATTCAGTACAAAGAATCTTGATAAAATGTCATTTCAAAAGAAGAATATCGTTTATTTCATCAGCTGATTGAAATATAATCTGACTTAAAGGACCTAATGTTACTTACTTAATCCAAGTGTTAGTTGTACAGAAGGTAACTGGTTATCTAATAATCATTAGTTTAGATTTACGTCAATATAAATCATAAAGTATAATGTACTCACTCTAAACCCATTTTCAAATATTTCTTGCCACACAACTGGAGTAATATTTCGTCCAGGTGGTTTGACATTACTGATAATTTGAATTAAATTATTTATGTAGTAGCCCTCCAGACGGTGATAATCATCACCGAACTTCATTTGTTTCATGAAGTTAATAATCGAAGGATTAGAACGCCTAGCATCAATAAAATAATGCAAAATATATTGCAAAAATTTAAAACACTGAAGAATAAATGTTTCCTCTTTTTATTTATACATTTTGTATATCATTCTAGAAGTAGAAATTATTTCCATGTAACATAATCTAGAATGCATAAATATTTCAAGTCATAAGTTTATATTACTTTAGAAAAAGATATCATGAAAAAAAGTTAAGCCAGTTGGTTCTGAACATACTATTATTATTTTTTAGCTGATATCGAATAGATTATATTAAAATCCATACTTCCAATAATCATTTGTTTCTCACTCCGAAAACGGTTACTAAGATACAGCGATGTTTCGTCCAGAATTATGGCAGTTTTAGCTTACTTATTAACAATTCTTCGAACTATGTATGGCACGTTCAGTTTGGTAAAGTGATTGAATCTAAAGTTTGTGTGGTCACGGAGCTTCAAATAAAAGTATGTGTTTTTCAATATTTAAAGGTATGTTTGGGCTGGAGTTAAAAACGTTTGAGCAAAACTTTTCCATCTGGTCATGAGTGTAGATTTCCCGATTAAGTATTTGTACACGATAATCTTCTCTCTAGAACTTTATGATTTCTGTTCTACGATAGTGACATGATTAGGTTATTTAGCACGGTTCACATAACATCTGGCGTAAAATTAACATTATTAATCATTTTAGAAGTGGTCTCTTCATTTTCACATAGTAATTTAGTAGTATAATACGAATTTTACAGCAATTGAATCTAATTTACAGATATTTTATTACATTAAAAATATATTCACTAACATAGAACAGAGTGTTCGTATATTTAAAGTCTATACGATTATCAGCACAGTTACTCAGTAAACTTAAAAACCACATCCACTGTACATTTATCAGGGATATCTAATTGAACTACCCTTATGCGATACTTTTTCACATACATAGTTGGTTGTTCCAACATATAACATTGAGAAGAAAGTACAATACATATTATAATTGTTTTTGTTAAAATATTCAGTTTTGTGAATGCTTTGATTATAATCGTCACGAATTTATATTCTAAGGCTTACCAGCAATTATATTCAACTTCATCACCACCCAAATGAAACCAGTTATCAGGGAATACACTGAACAACTCTTTGTATAATTCTGACACAAAATTATAGGAAAAATTGTTGATTGGATTGATTGGACCCAGAGTGCCATCCGGTTCACCCTTAATGTAACATTTGGTTAAAACCTCTGGATAACCTTTCCCCCAAGAATTAGCATGACCTATGGTTAGTAAAATGTTTAAAGAATATTATCGGTAATCTTCATCTTAAAGTTTAATCACCGAAAGTTTTATAATTCGAAAATAATTAAAGCATAAAAAGTAATTGTCTAAAAATTCTCATATTGTTAAAACAATCATACGTAAATAAAAAGTTCATATCAATAAGTTCATATTAGAGTTGGAAATTACAAGTTCGAATTGGTGATCTTAAGGTAATTTTAAAGCCCATATATCCTTTGAAGCTAAGGCATATGAACTAAGGATTCTTAGCAAAATGAAATTGGTAACCTTAATAAGTTTCATCACGAACTAAGCATAATTGATAAATCATCATTCATAGATCCATCAAGAACTGAACCCAGGATCTTCAGTCTTGCTCTCAAGAGTTTGACTTCTAGATCACAGAAGTAGTGTCCAACCTAGTGTTTTATAGGTGTTAAGAAATTTAAGGTGGAAATTGAAATGATAAGATTAGTAATTAGTAATAAATGTAGGTTATTTAATGTAATTTTAAACTGAATATTTAGTCGAAGATGAATAAATCTGTAAAGTGTCATGAACTTGCTAAGTAATAAGCTAGGGATATTAGTACGAATAAAATTCTACGTACGTTTTCGAGAATAATAATAATAACGAAACAATAGTAATATTTGGATATGATAAATCAAAATAAGACTTCGATTTCAATACCTATCCACTTCAAACAACACCGAAGTGCTGGGATATGCAGCTAACAGTTCTCAAGTAAGACGACAGTTCGTTTCTACACTCCACAGATAGCTACAATGAAAACGTTTCTTACAAATCCTTATGACTTGATGGTAATTTCAAGATTATCTGTTAACGATACATATGTTTTAAAAAAGACTGATCAATTGCAGTCACTTACATTAACGACAGAAATTAGGTTATTTTACAACTCCGCTTGTAACTCTTCTAGAGTTACTGCCGGTCCCAAACCCGGGTAAAGGAAGAGGGTTGGGTATGAGGTCGGCAACCCCATCCCATAGAAAAAATCTTGCTAAAGAAACGCCAACCAAATTAAACAAATGAGGTTATTTTATGATGAGGATGAATATTGACTTCTAATGCCTGAAGTTGGCCACAGTAAGAGAACAGGCTGAATATTTTTCTTTTGTACGCAAAGTTCAGGTCTTGATGGACATAAAAATAGATGAGTAGTATTAGTTTTTCATCTTTCAATCTTGGTTTCACTATAGGACACGTAAAGAGCAGTAGTTTTAATTCATTTATTTGAATTTCAGCAACTTGTGTATAGTAAATCATGAAAGAGCTTTGACTAGAATACTATTAGTCGGTTACGGAAATTATTATAAGTAGTTTGAAGGTCAATTAAACTCAGTTTACTCTCTTTATACATTTCTGAAGTTGTTATTACGTAATGTTTAACTTCATTTCTGATTTTCCAGATATGTCTACCTATGTATTTAAAAATCCTTTCTTTAAGGACATTTTAGAATTCTTCAACACTGACTGCCTTTCTATCAATCCTCATTATTGTATTGTAAGGCATGTGCACTGGTTTTAAAATATTATTGCTAATGCTTCTATGTTGTAAAAAACCGGAAGAGAATCTAAAAAATTATTGAACCCATGTTATTCTGTTGTAGTTATCGTTCTTTTTTTATTCAAAACTAAAAGGGTTTGTGTACTGTATCCTCCAAGTAATTTTCCTATTCGGGTTCCATTTTAGTGATCCATTTACTCCCTTTGTAAGTAGAGCTTCTAGAAAAGATATCGTGGCTTCATTACCTTTCTCACATATGTACTTAATAGCCGGCTAAAATTTATCAAAAGTCTGGAGACTCTTACTGACCAATATGATTTTTTATTTAGGGTAAGTGAATCAATCACATGCCAGCAGTAAAATCAGAACTGCCCTAGTTAATAATCTTGATGTTTAGTTTTAAAAATAACATTGGACCCAGTGACACACCCGTTGCTACAGCATCCATCGTTCCACACAAAATTCAAACTCATGTTACATTTTAGTAATAACACTTTTAGCACATATACTGAGGTAGGAATATGTATTACCGTTTCTCTAGTTTGGTCGTATACATAGGTTACCTATGTACATTACTGTAAAGGGCAAGCAATCACAAAGCTTAACTATTTATCTTTGTTTATAGTTGGAATGTAAATGAATCCCTTGTAAATACAGCACATAATGATTGTTTGGTTTTTAAAAATATAAATAAGTGGTGATAAGATATTTTATTCAATCCTCACCATACATTTAATACAAATATTCATTAGTAATCTATTGAGTTGCAATTTATTTATTTATTTACATCAATTACTTAACCAACTTCGAAACAATCAAAATTTTATAATCAATCAATGTGATTCACGTAGTGATGTAACATTTTTGGAATTTGTTTTATAAAAATCTATGAACTGTGAATAAAACTTAGTTTATTGTATACAGGTTACGATAGGTTGAAATTAAGAACAATTATATGCGATGATAAAATCGATTTATCATCAGTACTTATATAAATCATTGTCATTTAAAATAGTGCACCAATGACGATTCTTAATGATAAAAGTCTTAAAATATTGCCATAGCATCTCTAGATCGAATAGGATTTGTAGTTGATTGAAGCTTCACAATTATATTACGGGAAATTCTGGACACTATGTTTATTGCTTGTAGTATTATATTCTGTTTCCCAACTTAAATCTCATTTAAACTATTCACCGCCGTTATATATTTCATTGTTACAAATTTACAATTAATTTACTATTTTCCTAGCACACTGTTTTGTATTACATGGCTGAATGGTGTATAAATTGTGATTTCTATTTATTTTGCTATGTTGTTGGATATTTTAGGTATATTGAATTATGACGGAATTGAGTACAACATCTATCGACATCTTGAACGATGGAGTTTTTCGAGGGACAGTTTGACTGGTCTAATGTCCCCAAAGATAGTGATGGCCTTCTAGTTAGCGAACTGACTGAGTTGTTTACAAACGTCTGCCAATTAGAGTGTCCCAACATTGCGAAATGAATCGATATTTATTCCTATTTTTAAGAAGGGCTAACGTCCACTATGCAACAATTATCGGAGGATAGGTCTATTTCCGATTGCGTCTGAATTATTGGGCTCTTTCATACTTCACAGACTGTTCAAAACTCGGGAAAAATTGACTCGCGAGGAGCAGGCTGGTTTTTATCCTGGTCGAGGATGTATTTGCCAAATCTTCAACCTCCGCCAAGTGTTAAAATACCGCCCACCTATCACAGAGCAACAATCATAGTGTTTCTTGACACTAAGACTGACTCAGATTTGTTGGACAGGACTGTTCTCTGGGATTTTCTATCGAAGAAGGGTGTGCCTGGGAATTTTATTAGCAACTTGAAGGGACCATATACAAACACTACATGCGGAATGAGGGCATACAACTACCTTCCTACATTGTTTCATTCAAGCAGTGAGGTGAGACAGGGTTGCCCAATACCTGAATTCCGGACATAATCAGTTGGCAAACAGTGTCCTTATGTATGGCATGTATTTTTGACCTCCTGGGTGCAAACTACTTTTACAAGTCTGACAGGACCGTGGACTTGCACTCACTATCGGTAATAATAGGATAGGAGTGGTTGAGAAGTTTTTGCATCTGGGTAGCTGCATAAATGTTGGTGGTGGCGTGAATAATGATACTCATGTACGTATAATGAAAGCTAGAGTGGCTTATGTTAATCTGGCTCATCTTTGGTGCCTCTGTGATGTTAGTTTGGCTGTATAAGGTTGGATCCGCAACACACCGAAGAGAGCAGTTTCGCTTTATGCTTATGAAACCTGATCTATCCGAGTTGGGGATGGTAAATGACTCTCTATGTTTGATAACTGTTGCCTCCGAAGAATTGCTCACATTCAGTTGGACCACCATGTCAGTATTGCAGAGGTTCGGCACCGTGTGTTCAGGCACAGTGACGATAAATCTTTTGGTGTCAGTGATTTGAACAGAGAAACAAAAAAGCCATGACAGACAACGGAAGATATTTTCGGGTACGCTGTTTACTTTAATTCAGAGTTTGTAAAATACTAACATTCAGTTTTGTCTCTATTTTAATCTATAAATTATAGGCCTTCGTTTGATGTATAATTCGCTGACATATTGTTTTCTGTTCTAAAGCACTTGGAATTTAAACGTAACCTTTTGTATTCTATTTTTCCACCCAATGCCCAATTTGGATATAATTATATTCTGCTAATTGTTTGTGAGTTTCGGTCGTGTTAGTCATTTATGTATTTATGTGTATTTTTACATTAATCTGAGTCGGGAACAAATCGAGTAGTGTTTCAGTTGACTTGTCTTTTTACTCTCTTGTCTAACAATCAGGTGATAAAATAGTTTCCGTTTCTCTTTTCAAGGCTGTTAATCTCGATTCGGATTCACGCATTTCTAGACTCATGGTTAAACTAGTTAGTCTATCATATGAAGGCATGAAGCTAGATAGCGACAAGTTCTCTCTTATATATTATTGCGTAGTGATATGACTGAATGAAAAGTCAAAATTAGATTGATTCAATCATTATGATTTTAGTTCAACATTAATTCCATTTTAATTCAATGTAATGATTACTTAATGTAGTATTTGTTTTTGTTTTCTCGTGTGACATTTTATTCTGTACAACATACGATATTCTTGTATTAAAAATTGACTTGAACTATGCACAGCATGACATGTAGCATGTGATTTGTTATGACTCTAAGTACGCTTCATATATGTGATTTCATCTTAATTATTAATCGAAATGGGTTTACAATCAATGCCTAAATGAGTGTACTTTCGACTAGGGCCGTCGTCGTAGTTGTGTTCTGGGGTTAATAAATCTTAATTTTTATCAGCCTTTGTGTTCTTACTTTTGCGTCGTGGCAATTGCATAGGTTCCTCACTTTATAAGTATATATGATAAGCGATTCCGACTTAACAGTCAGAAACGAACAGATATAACAATTGGTGACGCAGTCATAATAGGTAGATAGATCACTATCTTGAAACACGGACATCGGTGGTTAGAATATTTCCTGTGAATGCCGTCACGGAGAATTCCTTATCGTGCATTATTTTTCGACTCTGAGACCGGTTGAAAAAAGTGGAGAGGTGGTCGGTGTATGACATGGTGTCATGGTATGAAAATAAGCTGTACAGGACTCGCCTCTGTTGGGCCTTCACAGCTCCTTGTTTAAGGTCCTTGCGATGGTGCAACACGGTAGCTTGAGATGTAACGGTAACTGTAACTTTCTTCGTAAACGTTAGAATAACTTCTTTAACTAGAAAAATTCTTTCTGGTCGTATTTTTCCTAACTGAACTGCCTCTACCACTATTATTATTATTATTAAACTCTCATACACTTGTTTCTGTTCATTGCTACTCTTCTTTTCATCATACTTACCCTTCATTCACTATCTCTTCACAACCTCGTTGTTTGGTGCATATGTATTTGGTGCCCCCTTGTATCAATGTTTATGTGTTCAAATAAAATAAATAAGTACAACAAAGAACAAATCTCCTTCACATCATCGTCTCCCAACTGGAGACTTTGTTAGGATGATCTCGAAGATCATTAGACGTTAAGGTTTTGATTAATGTACATTGATTACTGTATTTAATAAGATAGGTAATCTATTCTACAGGCAATATAGGTGAACTTATCAGTAGTCGAATGGAAGAGTACAACTGCTCTCATGATAACGGCACAACTGCACGGGCTTCAACCCAATCTTAGAGTCTGTTCTTATTGAGGACACATTATTGTTTATTAGTTAGTGACTATATTAAAGCAGCACAATCGAGTACTGTCATTATTAAAATAAAGAAATGGATGCCTTGTTGACAATCTAAAGGAATTATTCTGAAATAAACAATTTAAATAAGGCTTCTGAAAAGTATTGGCTATTCCGAAATACGAAACCTTAAGTCATTTAACATAGTACATTACATGTTCTGTGTTTATCATCAATGACCCCCCTTGTACAGTGGAGGTTCATTAAAAGTAAGCCTTATTTTAAATTTTTATCGAACAAATGGTCAGTTGATTGTAATTTAATATTATAATAATAGTATAGTTAGAAATGAGCTATCCCATCTAGTTCCAACGAATCATAAAAACACTTAATCAGTCCTAGTCATCTGAATTGTTAAGAGATATTTATCAAGGGCTATCAGGCTTCTAATCCTTCAAACGATGGGGACGACATTCATACCTAATAATACAAGACTCTTGATATCAAACATAACATGCTTAACTCCGCTTACTATCGTGATCAACATAATTTCAAATAACCTATTGATGAAACTTAACTAAACACTCTAGAATATTAGTGATCATAGAAGTTAATCTTAAAATTTCATAACTATTTAATAACTTTTCCTACCTGGTGTATCGAATTCCGGCATTATTCTTATTCCTCGTAAACGAGCATAATTTAGTAAATATTTCACATCGTTTGGTGTATAGATTAAAAGATACGGGTGAAATGCTCCCTGAAATTAAACGTATGAAAGAATTTCAACTATATAAGATTAGTAAAAAAAAGGATAAATTTTATTTTGAAAAACAATGCTCTACAGTTTAGAGTTAGCAATCCCTCATGTTAAAAATTCTTAAATAAAAAACACTGCCCACAATTGATTGATCACTGGGTGGTGATTAATGTCATATGTGTCAAGTCCTTAGTGCAGATCGAATGCTATCGATCAAGTTGCAATGTGGCCACTAGTCTATGTGACTCGACATTGCGTGCACTGTGTTAAGAGAAGATGGTGGTTGGAGGTAGTCAGCAGGAAACCCTGGACCCGAGTTTCGTGCTGTTTGACACTCATCAGCGAGGTGTACCTGTAATCTTGAGGGAACTGGTGCTCCCTGTGGTTAGGGTAACGTCTCTAACTGTGAAGCTGGGTGACACGGGGTCTAATCCGTCAGGAAGCACCAGTTTCCTCAATATTACAGGTACACCTTGCTGATGTGTGACAAATAGCACGAAACCCGGATCCAGGGTTTCCTGTTGACTACCTCCAACCACCTTCTTAAAAAACTGCCCATACTCAGATTAACACCTATTCGAAAATCTTTCTCTTAAGCTTACCTTTGAAGAAAGTTTCGGAAACGTTTCAGACACATAAGGAAAAGACTGATCGTCCACAATATGCCAGTGAAGTACATTCATTTTCACCATTGACATTGAATCCTTGAAAATATAAAATCAACCAAAGTATGAGTTTTAACCATGTAAATGAAGCTTATTGAGGATTTATTATGACGGATTGAAGCAACATCTGGTAGCTAAAGGATAAATAAGATGTCTTCGTGATTCCTTATTGTTGATCAAAGTTAATTATCGATTATAAAAAACTTATTTAATAGCATAAACTATATGATTGTTTGAAATAGCTCGATGGGACAGATTGCCAGAACAGAGTTTGGTGCCTATTGATATCCACAATTTGACACTAGAAAGAACATTATATAACGTTCTAACCCTTAATCTCAGAAGTGACACATAAAACATAACTACATCCAAGGTATGACTTGATAATTTATAATAAATTGAGCATTGGGTAGATTGCTATAAATAAAATGATATATTTGTAATATCACAATGAGTAGAAAATTAAATTTTCTGACGTTTCGTGACTCAGTGTAAGCCACTTCTTCAGAGAATAAATAACCAAACCAAAATTAATCCAAGCTTTTGGACTATTTAAACTTGGATTATAACTATATCCATTTATGCATTCTAGTACTAAAGTAGATTGTGTCAAAAATATGTTATACACTCTGATGTCGAATCAGTATGAACGTTTTACCGAAAACGTCATCAAAAATGTAGATAAATGTACTCAGATTGCACGTTTAGATTTCACTCAAGGAATGAAATCCTCAGAACAAAGTCACAACATATCCTGAGAGATATATAATCAATCATTTCCCAGTAAGTTCATCACCTTGGCAGCTGGAGGCACAATCTGTGGTGTGCTATCTACTTAAATCGTAAAATTAGTGAACTTCACACATAATCAATTAGAATATTTAATCATTAGACAGACAGGTCTTATACGATATCAGTTATATCCTAGTGAAGATTAAATTATCGGTAACTTCTGAGAACTATTAATGGACTAATATTATATGTATATGCTTAATGTATAACTATTCAGTAACTAGATTACGTATATCTATATTCCTCTTATTATAAGCTTAATTCTGATCTATAGACTAGTATGATAAGATTTGCTATTTTTAAATTATACTCAGTTTATTGATTAAAGTCCCCAATGTTCATAGCCACTTTTTGGCTTGATCTTGTACAAATGTTATTTCCTATTTTATTATTTGATGTGGTCTGTTTAACTGGTATATAAACCAAGTATGTTCGAAATCAATGATTCGCATATTAGAAGCTGTTATTGGTGTTCCGGACTCAGCTGGAAGAGTTAAGTGGAAAAGAACCAGTAAGGACGCTAAGCTGGTCGTACCGGTCGAACGTCATTGGCTTGACACAGTTTTAAGATTGTATAAGTCGTGTTCCGATTAGCGAATAAGTCACGTGATAATTAGGCTTGTCAAGTCACAACAGTATCCGACTATGAATTAAGATGTTTTAAGTCTACTCTTCTTGATAGCTTCAGTCATCATAGAAAATAACTTAAACTGTTTAACATCTATCAATATCAAATAATAATGCTTCCTGATAGCGATGAAGAAATAGCTCTGATGGATCGTAAAACTTACGTTGATAAGGCGTCAAATCTTTTATTTCTAAGCGTATTAAACAAAGAATAAGACTAAAATGATTTGAAAAAAACTAAGTGAGATAATGATATCGTAGGGTTAACGTACTGTTTACAAAATTTATTACTGTGATCCCATTTACATGAACAATTTAAATCAAGAATATAATCTACAGACAAACGGTTGGCATAGTAATGGGTTTCCCTCTTGATCCACTACTAGCAGACTGCTTAATGGTAATTTCGGAAAACGAACAACTAAAGACAACTACTGACAATATCCATCTACATAAAGAAGATATAAGTAATCTTTTTATTATCTGCGATTATAAATGTGGTTCAAATCACATTATGCAGGCACTCAACAAATGCCACCTGGTAGTAAACCTTACACTTAAAATGGAAAATAAACTGGACAGTTACTTTATGGATGATGTGATTATCAGAAAACCTGATAGAACTCTAAGATCTGTTTGTAGAAAACCTTCATAGAGTGGTTCGTACTAAAAATTTGGTTTATATGTACGATGGCTTTAAAGGTAATACAGCTTCGAATATCTTGGAAAGATAAATTTCTATTTCTCCATAAAGGGCACTTTTTGCAACAACCTCACGGTTCGTATGCTATAGTTGGTCAGCATTTAACGATGACCTAAAGGATAACCACTTCTATGTGTATTTATCAACCGACTTATTCCTAAATAGCCAGGTAATACGGGTTTTCTGATGTAAGTTTTTCTCAAGAAGATTCAAGAACATTATCTGGTATAGCCAAAAATAGGCAGAAGTAGATCAATGAGACAACCCATAATTGAACAAATTGTGAATATGGATCATCAGATCATATCGGGCTCAGGGTTCTAAATCACGTAAAAGGTGAATAGAAACTTTCTAAATACGTCGGGCTTCTATTTTCTAAGCATTATTGAAGCCATTGTGACACATTTAGAAAATACCAACCTATGTAAACAAAAGAAACTTGTTCAACCTATTAGTGTTTGCTTTTAATTTTCAAAATTAGTTTCCCTCTCCCTCTAATTTTACTAGTGACATTTTTTTCTCAAGCGAATTATTTCTTTTCTATACCCTCTCTTATTACACTTCATTTTGATTTCAATACTTTATCTTACCACATTATGCAATCCTTTTTCACAATTATTCTTCCGTCTATGATATTCCAGATAAATATTCAGGACTTTAACAACCATATTTCTAGCTTCATAAATGGATGACTTTTTTTCCCCATGGTTCTGTTACTACGCTCAGTAAATTGTTTTCTTGATGACATATTAATGGTTATCTCTTATGAAAAGTATGGTATAGCTTGGAAAATGAATTTATTGAAAAGAAAACCCTTAACTATACAAATCTTTCTTATTCCAGTCTCAATGAGTGTATTTAGTTTATTGTAAGAAAACTGGTTCGAAAATAAATATCCTATTATTATTTTACAAGCTAACACCAAACAATATGTAGAGTTATTTGATGATTGAAACATGGTGAATTTTCATTTCTTCTCAAGTTTCAGATTAACCTATTTCATTTCTGATTCTATTTGCTTGAATATGGTATTATTCATTAATAAAATCCAATTTATTGTATAAAGTAAAAACATAATAGAGGCAGAATAATATGAGTTCGTTATATTGTATGGTTTCTCATCAGTTGCTTACAATTGTATTTGTAATAAAATGTGACACTGAAATATGATCCAATATGGGGTGATTGAGATCGTTATTAATGTTATTTTGATTTTATCAAAATGTATGAGAGGAACCGATTGTCTAAACTTAATATTTTACATCCTAGTGAATATTGAATGAGAATATTAAAACAAGAGTTAACGATTTCTCCCCTATTACTTTGTTTTAATTAAAGTGCTTGTCATTTATGAGTCCAAGGATTCACTTATTTAAGTTGATAATATATACTGTTTAACTAATAGTAGCTAGATTAATCATTTAATGCAATCTAGTTAGTATGAGTGCTGCACAAAACTTAATTATATTATAAGTGTGTAGATACCAAACATAAATATTAAAAATTATTTCAGATAATATTTTATACTTACAAGGAATTTTTCGATCTCCTTTAATGATAAGTAATGTCTAGACGTATCAATTAAAAATCCTCTGTGGGGAAATGATGGTTCATCCAAAACTATACCACCTTCAATCATGTTCTATCAAAAAATTGATGATTATATATTTAAAATGTTGTCTAATTTCACTTTACTCTCTCTAGTGGACTTCTGTAAATTAACTGAAGTATTGTTTCCAATCCATGTAACGTTCCCCAGATTTCTTCTGATTTTAAGATTATTCTCTGACTGAAAATAAGAAGTGAATCTGTGATATAATTTCATTGAATAAAATAACATACATGTCTCATTCATTGATTCAGAAGGCCATAACTCACCACTTGACTCGTTACATCCACTAGTTATTGATATTTTAATGGTATCGATTGTAGTATTTGGCAAACAAGTAGGAACTTTAGGATACTGTTTTATTAATGTGAGACGTTCTTCAAAACGTTTTATTGCTTCCGTTAAAATATAACAGTTTTTGTATGAATGATTGTACGTCAACGCTTCAACAAGATTATAATAAATTCCTGTCTTATGGTGTTTGTAAACTTTAGGGACTATGGAATAACATTTAGAAACACAGTAAACTAGAATGAACAATAAGTATAGGAAACAAGTTATGGAAGATTTCATGACCCTTTCTAGTTTGATAAGTTGAAAATTAAATATTGTAAAGAACTGTACTTATATATTCACTATTACTGACCAATCAGAATTGAATCGATGCTATCTCAGATATGATTGGTTGAATCGTTAGCAAATACAAAGAGATCTGTATCACTTCACTACTTTAGTCATTGAAACATGATTGGTGGATGTTCATTTAAAATGTTCTCGATATCCTTCAATAACTTAAATATGAAGCTTGAACAAGTGCTTTCTCAATATAAACGTGTAACTTTTAATTTTACAGTCAGCTTCTAACAGTTCGTTATAAATAAATTATATCGTCTGATTATCGATTGGTTGTTTATTAATTTAACAATGCATGATAAAGAGAATAACTGAAATAAAATTCATCACTTTCTACGTATTATCACACGGTATTGGTGCCGGGATTATTTTTTCCTCGTTTATATGTCATTAATACATGCCATATGTCAGGCTCAATACAGATTATAAGCCCGGAAGATCAGTATAATTTGTCTCCAGTAGAAATAAACACTGTTATGACTACTAAAGCCCGACTGCAAGAATTTGATCGTAGTGACCCTGAGTTGTGGTTTTCTGAACTAGAGCATTATTGCACGAGGCATAATATTAAACATGAAGGAATCGGGTACCAATATATGTGCAAAGTCCTCCCCCCTTTAGTTCCCATAGAAGTCCATAACTTAGTTTTGAGTCTGTTAGGTCCCCATAAGCATAATGAATGGTAACTTTGGGATCCATTTATGGACCAATAAATTGCGTATATTTTTATAGTATAATTGTTAAACAACTAAACTATTCATATTCATATTCCTCTTATTATAAGCTTTATTTTGACCTATGAACGATAATTATACGTTTTACCATTCTTGAATTGTGCCCTGTCTATTAGTCACTACCTCCCACATTCACAGCAACATTTGGCCAAATTTTCTACAAATGTTATTTTCTATTTTATGGTACGTTGTGGTCTGTTTGATTGTGGTGTTTGAATGAACTAATAACTCCTTTGTACTTGTTAAATGCCTGATTTCGAATTCTAAATACAATACATTCGTTCGTGCTTATCTAGTAGTTCTTGATCCACTTACGTGATTTCTGGGATTATTAGTTCATACTATAATTCAAATACTTCTAACTATCATATTGGGGTCGCGATGGGGCCTGCGATGGAACAGTTAGATATTCATTCGGATTTTGATGCTTATGAGGATTACTTTAAAAGGTTCGAAATCTGGGCTATGACCAAGGAAGATGATGAGAATATTAATATCGTGACACATTTTCTCACATTCATCGGAAAAGAAGCATATAGCTTAATAAAAATTTTGGCTTTACCGGAAAAGCCCATTTCTCTTCCTTATACAACTATCAAGGAACTACTTCTAGACTATGCTAAGTAGACAAATTTCGAATGCGGTAAAGGGAGATTTCGTAAAATAATTCATGAGGATATAAAAAATTCCACTTCATTACGTCACCCCATCCCAGTGAATACACAAGATTATGCAGATAATTCATTTAGGAATTGAGATGCAGTTCACGAGGATGGGCACAAGTTTGGTCAATGTTTGTGCTGTGGCGGGTTCCACTCTTTTAATTCATGTAAATTTCGTAATTCTAAGTGCTTTAAATGTGTTGATGTTGGACATATTCAGTCAGTTTGTAATATTACTGTTCATCTTGCTGCAACTAATATTAAGTCTTGTGATTCTGATTCTATTAAGTTGAGTATTTATAATGATCATTTATCTTTATCGACGATTTCAAAAGACAGTTTAGAGTCATATAGCAGTTCAGAGTTAAATGAAACTCAGGATCCTTGCGAGGCAACAATTTCTAATCAATCAACCCATCAGATTTCCCATGTTATTGTACCAGATATGATTTTTCCTAATGATTCACATGTTTCTGATGAAATTTCTCACAAATCTGGCGAGAATATTTCGGATGAACCTAATCATGATCGAAAATCTGATGTAGTTTTGATTGATGCTGATTTTTCTAATGATCCTTTACTCTGCAATGACATTCTTAATAAATTTGAGGAAACTATTTCAGAAGAATCAAATCTTGATGTCATATCAAATATTACTTGTCCTCATGATGCATTTGTTTCTTGCGAGAAACTTGTTCGATGCGAAGCACGAGTATTAAATGAGTGAGAGTTTGATTAAAATTCAGATAATTCCATATCAACTGTTGTTTGTCCTTATCATAAATTCACTTCCAACGTTTACTCTAGTCAAATTGAGAAAGATGTTTTAAATGAAGCCACATTATTCATAACTTGGGGATATGAAGATCCGACATTATTTCGTGGGGGAGGATAGTCTATGGTTCATATCCTAGGTAGTAGTTCCAGTATTCAACCGGCATGGTGATTGTTTACAATCCCAGATATCAAGTGAGTCTGTTCCGATTTCGGTTGTTAATTCTAATACTAATGAGTGCATCCTAGATAATACAGAGTCTTTATCCAATACATTGTCGGACATACACAGGATGAACTTAAGAAGAAGACGTGCAATCAATTACAGACACCTGGACTCCGATTTAAGCTGTGGCGGATGTGGTGTTTGAATGAACTATTGATTGCTTTGTACTTGTTGAATATTTGATTTCGAATTCTAAATACAGTACATTCGTTAGTGCTTGTGTAGTACTTCTTGATTCAATTGCATTATCCCTGGGATTCTTGGTTCATACTATAATTCAATTACTTCTAATTATCATATTGATTGGTATATAAACCGAGTATGTTTGAAATACATGCTTCATATCGCAGACGCTGAGGTTATTGTTCTGGACTTAAATGGCTGGGGTAGGCGGAAAGCAGAACCAATCAGGACTCTAGGCTGCTCGTACGGGTTTTACGCGTCATTGATCCGATCGATATGATTTTCTAGTCGACACCATGATACGACGTTTGACACTTCAAGTTACACTTCGAGTTACAATAATTCAAAGAAAGTCACATCACTTCTCTAAATTCAATACAAACTCCACCAATAACAAGTGCGAAATTCCAGACTACACTGGCGGAATTTCCAAACCAAACCAAACCCAACCTCTAACCTTCCAAAAGTAAGGCAAAGTTAAGCTATACAATCAAAACTCAAAGGGCACTTGTATTTACCAGACCCAAAGGACTAGCATCAGATAAGCTTAAAATCGCTAAAGGTGAGTTCGACTATATGCCACAGCTGTGCATTATTCGTCCCTCTGATAGCCAAACGGAATCCTTTCTATACATGGTTTCAACGAAAAATGAGAGTGATCGGCGACCATACGGAAATTACATATCTCTGGATCTACAAACCGTACCAGATAGGTACCCAATAACCCATATTCAAGATTTTACAAACGGCTTACAGGGTATGGACATATTTACTAAAACTGACTTGGCCATGGAACATCACGATATCGCAGTAGCTGAGGAAGATATATTCAAGACTAAGATTAATACACCTTTTGGACCGTTCGAGTTTTTACGCATGCCATTCGACATGAAAAACGCAACACAAACATTTCAAAGGTTTATGGACAACCTACTTCGGGATGTGTTTTTTGTACAAGGGAATACCGGCAATTAGTTAATTACCAGTTCAATTTTCAACCATGTGAACAACACGTGAGAGCTCTTTTAATACAGATAGATGTAAAAGAAATAAAAATGCATCAATGTAGGTGTGCTTTTGTGTTCAAACCTTGTAATTTCCCGGACACAATAAACGTAGACGGGATTATACCGATTAAAGAAGAGGTAGACACCAACAGGTAGTAACCAAAATCAAGTTCTTCAACAAAACTTAGAATTTTTCTAGGTTCAGTTGACTTTTATCATAGATTCACACATGGTTGCGGACAAATAATGGAATTATTAACAAATTTCCTCAAGGGAAAACCTAAAGAACTTAAGCGAAGTTCTAAGGCTGTCAAACTCTGCTTGTAGCTCTTCTAGGGCTACTACATGCTGCAAGCCCAGGTAAAGGAAGAAGGTTGGGTGTGGGTTTGGCACTCCCATCCTGTAGAACACAACCTTGCTAAAAAACACTAACCAGAATAAATAAGTTAAATCATTTAAAATCTGCCCTGGAAGTTCAAGCAAAAATTATGACGGCTCATGATGAAGACCAAAATTCTTCGGAAGTCACGAGGTTGATGCCCCTTCTAACAACCGGAGCAACAAGTTGTATAGGTAAACGGAATGTGCGGACAATGTGGGAGACCGGAAAGATCGGTCAAATAGCAACGGAAATGAGAAGATAAACTTTGAAGTACTCGGAGTCAGCGAAACACATCTGACCCAAGCTGAACAGCAAAGGTTACGTAAGGAAGAGATGCTGCTGTAATCCGATCACGAAGAGAAAAATGCTCCACACACTCACGGAGTTCCTCTGATGCTGTTTAAAGAAGCACGTAATGCACTTATAGGATGGGAATCTCATGGACCCAGAATCATCAAATCATCCTTCAAAACAAAGAAGAAGGGAATCACAATGAATGTTATACAGTGTTTCTCACCCACCAATGATAGTAGAGACAACGATAAAGATCAGTTTTACGAGAAGCTGCAATCAACCATAGCAAAGTGCCCAGGAAAGGACATGACCATCCTGATGGGGGATACAAACACCAAATTTGGGATGGACAAAACCGGATATGAAGATATCATAGGACGACATGGATTGACTGAGCAAGAGGAATGAGAAGGTTGAGAGATTTGCAATTTTGTGTGCATTCAGTAAAGTGGTTTTAGGCAGTACAGTATTCCCTCACAAATACATGCACAAAGCTACATGTTTCTGACCGGATCACACTACACGGAACCAGATAAATCATATTTGCAACACTGAAACTTTAGAAGGTCAATGGAAGAGGTGAGAACCAGGAAATGAACCTACATAGCTTCAGATCACCACAAGCTTGTGGTTGTCAAGATGAAACCGAAGCTGAGGAAACACAGAAGTTCAGTACAGCCTTCTTTCGACATACTGGCA